CTAGCAGTATGGACTTTTAAGAAACCTGCATGCCAGCCTTGCAGTTGGCCCTGCCTTTGTGTCCCAGATCTCTTTAGCACTATTGTTCATTCTTTTCATTTGTTCTTATTCATTGTTCATTCACTAGGTACTTTTTGATAACATGATTTGTTCATGTTTATTATGTATCCATGAGCATATTACTTAAAGTATTATAGTTAATACCCAAGGTTGGTTAATAATAATACCAAGGTTAGAATGTTCTAGCCTTTTAGATCATTGATACTATGATAATGACTTCCAAATTAATTATGTCACTAAGTAGTTTTGATGCTCAGGATTTCAGGCACTGGACCCAATGGCTAACAAGTCAACATACTTCCCATTCTTTGAAAAGCTTGTGGGGCTGGGAGGTATGGTGGTTTGAATGGAAATGGCCTCCATAGACTAACAGGGAACGGCACATGGGGTGTGAGGTGTGGCCTTGTTGGAGGAACTGTGTCACCAGGTGTGGGCTTTGAGGTTTCAAAAGCTCAAGCCAGACCCAGTGTCAATCTCTCTTCCTGCTTCCTACCAATCCAGATGTGGAACTCTGGGCTTCTTCTCCAGTGCCATGTCTGTCTGGGTGCTGCCATGCTTTTTGCGATGAACATAATGAACTTAGCCTCTCAGCCTCTGAGCCAGCCCCAATTAAAGGTTTCCTTATAAGAGTTGCTGTGGTCATGATTGCTGTGGTCACAGCAACTGAAGACTGATTTAAGATTGGGAGGAGGGGGGTATAATCTGGAAATAAATACATAGATAAGTGTGTAGTTATAATTAAGATATGTTTTTTGAAGAAAAAGAATCAGGTGCTATAGGAAAAATAAATGTCCCTGTGAATTCAAGACTAGCCTGGTCTACATAATGAGATCTAGAGCAGCCAGCACTACATAGTGAGACCACGTCGTAAAAGAAATCATTGTAACTGGGCTAAAAGTTCCAGAGGGTTAGCGTTTGTGATGGTGGAGTGAAGGCACGGAGGTAGGTGTCTGAGAGCTGCAGCCAAGAGCTCATATCTTGATCTACAAACAGGAAGCAGAGAGAAGGCACAATGTGAATGATGTCAGTCTTTCCAAACTTCAAAGCCTGCCCTCAGTGACTCACCTCCTACAGCAAGGCTATAGTCTACTGGGGGACCAAGTGTTTAAATACATGAGCCTATGGGGGCCATTCTCATTCAAATCACCACATAGGGTGTGAGGTGAGGCTGGTGCTTAGAGGTGCTAATAGGAGCAGTGCAGGAGTGTCTCCCAGAACCTCCTCAGGGTGCCACGCAGAGGTGGCCTCTAACTTCCTTCCCCTCACTTTCAGACACTTACCATGACCCAAGCTTAGATCCTGCCCTGACCTTAGTAACAACATTTCCAGAACCAAAAACAGCTTTCCTTCTTTCCTAGAATCACAGTATCTTAAGTACTGGCTAGCAATAATGGCAGTGACAGATATTTTTACTTATTTGGTATTACCCAAGGCCCCAAGTAGAGATATCCATGTTGGCATGGGCAGAGAAGAAGGAAAATTTTGTCCATGATTCAGGCTCCAAGCCCACGGGAAGAGCAGGGTCCAGTATGCTTTGTAAGCAATGCAACTCATGAGTGACACTGTGTTCCCTCCCTATGCCTTCTAGCACTGAACAAGTTATTGTGCCAAGTTCAGCTATTTCTGCATTAAAGGAACACATATGATGGTAGCATGTTAACATATTCTACTCATATCATCAAAGGGGAGAATGGTAGCCAGGCCATCACAGATACTAAGGGATGTGCATCCCATGTTTATTTTATTATTCCTTTTAACCTTTGGATATGTCTGCAAAGTTCAGTAATAAAATATTTTCCCTTGCAGATAGTCTTTCTGTCCTGATTTACTATTTCACCACCCCTTCCACCAAATAGTTTCCTGTACTAATGAGAAATAGGAAATTTCCCAGCCGCCTGGCACTAATAGCTGCTCTCTTAACAAATATTTGGTGGAGTTTCACAAAACTTAAAAACTCTGAAGTGTGGGAACTCAGTCAGTTCACCTACTCTGAATCCATACTACTTCATGTCCATAAACAACTTCCAGACTCACTCCTCAGCACCAGAAAGATAATGCCAAATAGACTGGCGATAGAGCAGACTGCACAACAAGGGGAGCTTGGAGGTGGAATTCACTTCCTTACCATCACTGACCACCTACCCCAGATTCTTCCAAAGAGAAGCCTGTCTCAATGAACAGTAAACTAAGCCACTTTGCTGGAAGTAGTTTAAAAAACAAACAAAACAAGAACCATCCTGGGGAACTCTTAGAAATTGCTGATCTAAACCCCTCCTTTCTGTAATGATTCAGAGGACTGAGGCAGAATTCAGTGGAGGATCTGGTTTGGCCTCTAATTCCCATTGGCCTCTAATGGCTTTTGAATTCATGTAAAATGGCATAAACAGTCACAATGGGAAGGATGCAGGCTCCAGCATCAGACAGTATTGGACAGAATCCCTGCTCAAAATGAAATAGCTACAGATCTAGGAAACCTGGTACCTTAGCTTCCACATCTAAAAGATGGTGGTAGCTTAGGACTAAATTGGAGGGCATATAGGAAGTGTTTATCACTATATATAGTGTTCTAGAAAGACTCAATGAAGGACTTAGGTTTTTATGAATCACATTAGCCATGTCTTAATGTGATCTGGATAGTCCCCCTCCCCAACCTGTCCAAATCCCTTGTCTAACAAAGAGAAATTGTTCCAAACATGTGACTATAAACACATTTTATTTTGCCTTTGCACTAGGAAAACATTAGCCTATATATCTAATCCATTAGTAAAATTCTAATTTAAACAGAGGAACAAATGGCACATTGAGAAGTTAGGTCAGTTCTTCTGTTTTCCTACTTAGTTCCAAAGTAAAACCTACAGTTGGATAAACAAATATTTAAGGCATAGAATCATCCCTCTACAGTTTATTCTTCATTCCATAAAATGTCCCATTCCCATTAATCCCTTAGACTTTAGACCACTTAAATAGATGGAGGGGAAAAAAACAGTAAAAATTTGTATAGGTGCCAAAACTGTAAACTCCAGGGTGTACATCTTTTCTTACTGGTTCTTAAAAAATGTTGCTCCCAGAGAGTTAGAATGAAAATTTATTGCATGTATAAAGTAAAAAAAAAAAAAAAAAAACCAACTCTGAAATGTTTTAATGTAAAATGTTAAAACCTTTGCTCACTATCCTAATATTTCATAAACACAATAGAGAAATTATATTATAGAATCACATAAATGAAATTTACTATAATCAATGTTTTGAAAACAAAGGACTAATGGCACTCATATTTTCTTAAAGAAATCATTTTTAAGACAGAAAAAAATGGCATTGGAGGTAAAGTGCTATTCCAAAAACAGTATTTCATTTTAACTTTAAATTTTTACAGATACACAAAATATTCTTAAAATTGCAAATGACAAAGTGATTTGATTCAAGACTAAAGTTACAAGACACATAAAGACAGAATATTCATATCCCCTGAAAAGCTGCAATGGATCGTTTTCCCCATCAAATCAAGCTGGTATCCCATTATGAAAGTAATATAGTGACACAAACACACGCCAGTTCAAATAAGGACTCAGCCATCCTCGACTTTGCTCAATGCTTTGTTATTTCTCCCAGCACCATGTCTGCCAAAAGCCACTCTGAAGCCTCTTGGGGACAGTAGGTTAAATGGCCTTTGAGATCAAAATGTTTCCTTGTGATTTGGATTTCATCTCTTGAATGATTAAGATTCTGCTTTTAATTACATAATGCTACTTCTGTGCAGATATAACATGATTGGGGATTTGGGACTCTAAATTCTATGGATTTGAGACAGCTGGAGATAAGCCGGGGCCCTGCCCTTCCTCTTTTTTTCTCCATATTCTCTTCTCCAATCTGAAAATTCAGATTCCAATTCACAGAAAAGTTGGGTTTTTGAGAATCAACAGAGGCTTCTAAACAGATGAGTCAGGTTTATAATTATGATCCAAAAAGGAACAGGGTGAGCACAGAATCCCATTTTTAGTACCTCACTGTGTTAAGAAAACCCCCAAGCCCTCTTTTGGACAATGATGACTCTAATGACTGGTTTGCAAAGAAAACTCCCACCAGACACCCTGCTGACTCAAGAATTCAATTGCTGCTCAATTGGAGTAGTGTCAACATTCTTCTATTCCTAACAGGAATGTGTCTACAGTTCAAATTCAAGGTGGGGACTCGGGGTGTTACTGACATTTCAGAAAAGATGGAGAAGTTGCTCCATCACTCAGCGAGCTGTGTTAAACTTAGAGTAAGTATGTGGTAGTGGCAGAGGTGAGTGGCAGGGAAAGACTGAGAAGAGAGCTTCCTGTTTCAGTTTCAAATGAAATACACTACCAGCCACCTTTTAAAACCTATTCCAAACATAGTGTTTCATGATTATTTGGACACTCTAAAGTGATGTCTACCCATTGGAAGAGGCAAGTGTTGACTGGGAAACTAATAAAAGACAATCTGTTGTATATTAACCATTGCCTTTCAAAGAGTCTCAAATATTCTTTGGGCACTCTGTTGAAACTTGAGGCACTCTATCATGGAGCCAGCTCTGCGGCGACCAGCAGCCCAGTGCTTGTGTTAAAAATGAGAATGAAGATAGAGAGACAGGAGCTTTGTGATGACAAAACTATTGCCCAGTGACCTCTGCTTTGGTTATGCCTTAGAGGTACCCTTAAATCCAGCTAATTCCATCAACTATGTCGTGACCTCCTCCATGGAGCTAAGTTTTACAGTGAGTACAAATCCTGGATGAGGAAACTCTAGGCTACTCCAGATTTCTCTGTTATTGGTTATTTCCCCTTATAAATATGTTAGCCAAATAGTATTAATCATTTTCTTGGGAGGTGATACACTGTCAAAATAAAATACTTCCAAAATGTGAACAATCTGGTGGCCTCAAGTCTTGAAGATTCCCAGGGATAAGGCCACGTTGGTCACGTGAGTTTGCAACTTGGCACAGCTGTAGCCATGGATTCCTCATCTTTCTGATCTAGCTCCCTTGCTACAGAGTAGGCCACCGATCCATTGGTCCATAGTGGTAGCTTGGGATCTGATTCTTTGGCCAGGTACCGCAGCTGCGTTCTCTTCATCCTCTTTACAATTCTAGCAAAGCCAAGCAGTATGGAACTAAATATCATAGCAAATCCACAGAGAAGGAATGCTGCAGTATAGCTGCCCGTCGTGTCCACCAGCCATCCTACAACAAAGGCAAAACCACTTTGTTGAACTAAAAATTCAATTACCAGATTTACCTGCTCCCAAATTTAATCATTTGTCAGGATGATCACAATAGACTACAGCACATCATCAGGGCTATGAACAAAAAGCAGATGGCCTAAAATTACCATGTAGCAACTGAGAAATACATTCAGATTCATTAGGGAGATTCATAAAATAAATTAATAATTGCTACTAAGGGAAGGGACTTAGAATAGTCCTCTGTACTCAGTTATCGCACAATAGCTATTTGTGATTATCAATACCATGAAATCTGGTGAAAAATATTCAAATTTACATTTCATAGCCCGTAACTTTAAACATCATTTACATTATTGAAGTTGAGGTCATTACATAGGAGGTTAAGTAAACATGCAAAATGCTAATAGAATTCCCAGACCCCACACACTATTTTAAGTAACCCAATAGGCTTCAATGCAGTATCCAGTTGGCAAGGGAAGTCCAATTTCATTCACATCCCATTCAAATATCAGGACTTTGGACCATTGCTTCTTGGCCTTTTTGGCTAAGATCATCTGCTGAACATGGTGATGTGTATTGTTTTAAATGTATGCACCTGAGGCCACACAACTATATATAATCACAGATATGTTGCTATTGCAACATACCAATCCCAATAGCTGAGCCAGACACAAAATTTGAGCACAACCATGTTGTATGACAGGAAAAATATGGGTCACAAGAATCAGAGAATGAGTAGGGTATGTACTTTGGCAGGAAGTTTCTTTGTAATCGACAAGGAGCATCTTTGAATTTTTCCTCAAAACATCACTCATACGCCACCAAAATCCACCAGGAAAGCACACAGCTTCTCTTTTCAGTCACTTCAAACTGTATGTAAAAATTAATTCACATTCTACAAAGTTTCCCCATGATCAGTGCTCCCTGCACACATTTTTTTTAATAGTCTGTTTCATGTGTGGATTTCTATAGGACCAAAGTAGTCACTTTGAAAGTCAATAGACACTTACCAGCTTCCTTCTGTTGCATTCAAATGGAATCTGAATCCCCTGTGTCACAAATCTCTAGCTTACAATTTCTAACATTTAATACATACGCAGGGGAAAGCACGCAGAGCTTTCTCGGCTGTCAGGCTCTCAGAGCTGCACCATCAGGCCACTGCTTCGCCTTTTGGCCTCAGCACCCACTGTTCCATTTCGGAAGGAAGCTTCCTTCTGAATGTGCCTGGCTTAATTAGAATCGGGACAAATGTTCTATTCTTTTACTTCCAGTATGAACTGGAACCAAGAACCTGATTTGGGGCCTTTCTCTTTCCAGGCAAGCCACCATCCTTACTTGGTTGGGAAAAGATTATAAAAGAAGAAAGTGGGTAGGGCCATGATACTTGGGCGACTCTTGCATTCCTATTATCGTTGTCTTTTACTCTTCTCTAACTCACTGGATAAGCTTTTCCTAGTCTTTTTGCATGTGAGTTGTGTGTTCATTTCTCCCACATCAACATGATGACAGTGGCTAGCAAGCTTTTAACACTTACCTGCAATGGGTGGGCTCACCAAGTATGGCACTGCATGAAGGAAGTATACCACACCAAGTGCTGATGACAAAGAGGTGGTCCCCACTATCTCTGCAGTCACTACTGGGATCAAGGTAACGTAGGCTCCATCAAAGTAGCCAAAAGTACAAGAGAAAGGCACAAGAAGGGGGAAACTTTGAAGCATTGGGAGGCACAGATAGCACAGCCCATCTAGTGCCACAGCAAAGAGGTAGCAAACATACCGGTAATTCTTCAAACACCTACGGATGGGAAGAACAATAATGAGTATGGGACACACAGGTTCTACAAACGAGAGTTTGCACCAAGCCATGAAGTTGTAAGCACTGAAGCTGTTTACATAGGTACCTTCCTATTTTTGTTACCTTCTGACTGCTCTTTTCTTTTTAAAGAGTAAACTTTTAAGTGTGTGTGTACACATGCACACACACACATGCACACACGCGTGCGCACACACACACACACACACACACACACACACACAATAATTGGTTCTATTGGAGGCCAGAAGAGGGTATTGTATTCCCTGGAGCTGGAGCTCCAGGTGGTTGTGAACTGCTTAGTGAGGGTGCTAGGAACTGAACTCCAGTCCTCTGCAAAAGTGGCAAATGTTCTTTATTGCTGGGCCATCTCTCTAGCCCCTGTTATTCCTTAATTGTTCTACTGACATATGTAAATCAATTTCTATCTGTAGGAAGCATAGTATGGTGATGCTCTGAAATTAGATATGCACAAGATTGCAACTTCACTACTTGCATAACTCTAAAATTCTTTCATCATCAAACAAGACTATCTACTTCAATGATATGTAGAGCTGGCTGTGAAATAACACATAGCATGTCAGGAGGCTACAATTTTCTAGGCATCTACCATATTGAGTTCTTTGAGATGTGGTAGCCATTGGTATGGAGCACTTCACAAATGCTCCATGACTCAACTGATCATCCATTGCTGAGACTGGAATGTGAAGTCTCATTAAAATGAAAGGCAAGAGTGATGATGGCCTAGTCGTATCTGCAGACTTCTCCAATGGCACTTCCACTACACCCCCTCTCTGCAATTCCATCCCTTTCCAAGACACCAATTATATGAAAAACTGTCTGTATTGCAAATGCTTTCTCTTATTATCCTCCAAATATTGCACTGACCTGTTAGACAGATGGAGCCCTTGAGCATCTGAGCACTAGGTGATTTTCCCTGGGTCATGAGGTTAATGAGGCACAGAACTGGCATGAGAATTTAAGAATTTAGCCATGCCTCCTTCGGCTTACATGTTGCTTCTGCCTGAGTCATCACTGTGCAGGGGACATCGCCCTTCCTCCTTCCTTTGTCCTTCATTTACAATGTGGAAGTGTTAGGGAGTGGCTCTGTGAACTTGTCCTGAACAGGAGGTGCTGGTCTTATCACCAGCCAAGCACAAAACAAAACAAGTGCAAGCTATCCAAAATACCATATAATTAATAATGCTAGAAGGTGACAGTCAGATCCTGATTAAATCCCAAAGCATAATTTGTGAGAAGCCATGATAGATCTCTTAAGTCATAACTCAAATGTAAAGAATTGCTCATCTAGGACACCATTAGAAGTTTGCATTCTCCAGTCCAAACAGGTAATTTGGATTTGCTGTAGATTTCCTATAAATTTAGTCTCTAAGCTTACAGTATTATGAAGTTATTCTTTTCCGGCATTTGGAGCTAAATATGTGGCTAGAGACAATGTGTGTTGTTGTACCTGAGCCTCCCACTTGGACTAGATTCAGCTCCCCTTTCTGCTACTAGATGATGGCTGGAATGATTGAAAACAAGTTTAAACCACAGCAGCTGACCAGCAGTTGTCTCAAATGGAGGACTGACTTGCCTTCGGCTGGAATTCAAAGTGTCATTGGAACTTTCAGCGGTCCTTGCCCTGTGCTGTTCAGACAGACTCATCAATCTAGATAATCTAGAACAAGGGTGGACATCTAGGGTCACATCTAGCTTGTTCTCTGTTTGTGTAACTTACCTGCCCCCCCCCCATTTTAAATGGTTGGAAACAGGGGAAAAATTGGTGAAATATATAAAATTTCAATGTGCATGGATACTCCAGTACACAGCTGCTTTTGTGATGCCATAGCAGCCCTGGGAAGTCATGACAAATACTATATGGTCGACAAAGCCAAACAACGTTTACCCGATGTACCTTTACATAAGAAAAGTTTGCCAAAATCAGATCTCTAAGAATTAGCAAGAAGGCTGACTTCAGATATTGAAATTACCCTTCAAAGGTAGGTAGGTGTATAACAAGGTAAGGTCAGTGAACACTGGGGGCTAGGAGAAACCAGCTGTGTTTTCAGGGATTTTGTATTTTACCTTCTGTCAGTAAGCCATCCAAATGTAATGTTGCCGACAATATCTATCACCCCGAGTATGGACATAAGGAAAGCAGCTTGATGGTGGCTCACTCCGACACTCAGAGCGTAGGGCACCAAGTACACAAAGAGAGGGCTGCAACCGTAAGCCATGAACAGAACCGAGATGGCTAACACGACGAAGTCCGACATCAGTAAAAAACCGTATTCCTGCTGCAAAGAGCAGCAAAGACAGGTCTGTGCCCATTCTTTGGTCTGAGGTGAATAGGGGGATGCCTGCTTACAGTCTTCTCTCTGCGTTCCATGGTAACGATTATTCTCTGGACCCGAACGGTCCTCTTTAAGAGTAATTGGACGCATCAAAGCGCCACAGACACAGAGATTCAAGACGAACCCTCCAAGAATGAGCAGTGCCCCTCGCCAGGAAAACTGTTCGATAAGGAGCTGAACAACAGGAGCCAGGATGAAGGTGCCGATGCCACTGCCCGACATGGCGATCCCATAAGCCAGGGCTTTCCGCCTGCTGAAATACTTGCCGACCATGGCAATAGCCGGAGAATAACAAAGTGCAAATCCAAGACCTGGGAGACAGAGAACGCCATGAGTGCTGGTTCATGGTGAGCACCGAGGGGGGGGCGTGTCTTGGAACAGGATGGCTGCGATTGAAGAGAATCTGGTTTTCCAGGAAACCCCTTTAAAGCGGTTTGGATACCCAGCTGAGAAATTAGACTTCTGCCAGTCATCCAAAAACTAGCAAAGTACAGGACTTACGTGGCATTCTTCTTAGGAAGAATACACTAAAAGAAATGATTTCTCAAAGAAGAGAAAATGAAGAACTTGAAAAAAAAAAACTGTTCAAGCTAATCTGGAATATACTAGCAAAATCCCGAAAACACTGAACCAAGAAACTGATTCCTTCCTCCCTCCTCTGCCCTGCCCCCTCTCCCTTCCTCCCCTGCATGTTTTTGTGGGTTGAATTAGCTGAAAACTTGCCTCAACTCTTCCCTTCCCTGAGAAGACAGAGCTTTGATGATGCCCGTGCCACTCCATATTTGCACAGAAATAGGACGTACAAATCCATGAGAATTATTGCAGAATAATTTCCCTTAGGTGGAATGCGTCATAGAATAGGAAACATTTTACACAGGAATATGAAACCTGGAAATAAATATACCTCACGGCCTTAAGAAAAATACCAATAATCTCAAAAGCTTTTAGAACCTATCTAGCTTCTATTACCTTAGATTAATTTAGAAAGCTAAAGGGCTTTAAGCCTAGGTTTCAGAACATGTAGGTTATGTACTTCAACACACCAAAAGACTGATCATGACAGAGAAGTTAAAAGAGAACCACTTTCAGCACCCACTGTCATGGCCAGCACATCAATGAGTTTCCAGATGTGGGACTTTCAGTGCTAAAACCAGACTAGTTCCTAGTAAAATTAGCAGTCAGGCCCCTTGAGTTACTCAGTATATGTACCTTCCTTAGCAGACAGATCCATAGCTACAGCCTCACTCACTATGCGGTTACATACATTGGTGGCCTAATGGACGCTACACTCATAGTGCAGTATCCAGACAGGAGTGGGTACCCCTTTTCATGCCCATATCAGTGATGAACAGAATGCCACTTTGGTTCCACCAGCCAACTTCATTCAATCTTATGCAGTCCCCTTAAAGTATAGCTACTGGAATGTACATGTTCTTCTAGTTCCATAAAATCCATCACGATTTTCTAAAGTGATGTTTCTATAACACTGAGAGAACGTGAAATATGAGAATATCTGTGGCAAGGTGCTATCTTTCCCAAATTGAAATTCCCACTTATTGGATAATAATACTCAAAATAAAGCCAGGACACCTCAGGCTGAACAGTGTTTACTTAGTGTCTTAGCAAAGGCAAACTGGAGAATGGCCATTGTTGAAAATCTGTACTGTGCTGAGTAACTTATCATTTCTTCTGAGTACAGACTCTCAGGCATATGTAATTCCAGAGAGAAAAGTTATTTTTCACCATATGACTGAATTAATGTGGTGAGGCAGTCTCACTAGTGTAGTGAAATCACACATCCAACTCTGTGTAACTGCTAAGTAGGCCGCCATTAGCTAAGTCAGCTGCATTATGCATCTCACAAAATGAATATTTTATAAATCTCTGCTTTGTTTATGTGCCTGACAACACCTGAACAAGGTGTGTCCAGGCATGTAGAAGAAAATGTACTCACCTGTAAGAACTCCCAGGGTGAGGTAGAGATGCTTCAGGCTGGTGGCAAATGATCCCAGGATGAAACCAGTAGATGCCAGCAAGCCACCCAGCATGATTCCCACTTGACAGGATAAGTGGTTACTGACAACGCTCCCAAGTGGAGCTTCAAAAACAACAGGCAGGTCAATAGAAAGGAAGGCTTTAGGGGTACCTTGAAAACATTGTGGTGTTGTACTGACAGGGAAGAGAGCCATCAATCTTTGAAACATCAACCCCACCCCACTAGTTTTATAACTGTGGAAATTGAGACCCATGGAGAAGTGACCCATTGGAGGTTACCTGAACAGGAGCAGGGCAGGGACAAAGATGAAATGCCCTGACTTAGACTCACCTCTTACTCTTAGCTTCATTCTCTTATAGTTATACTTCCTGAACTAGAGTGTGGTTTTTGTTTTTATTTACTTTTATTGTTTTTATTTATTTAATATTGTTTAATGTGTCTTATTTATTTGTATTTCTTACTTTTCACATGCATGAATGTTAGCCTGCATATATGCCTATACATCATGTGTATATCTGGTGCCATTTGGGGTCAACAGAGTTTGTCAGATCCCCGAGAACTGGGTTTACAGAGGGCTGTGGGCTGTCATGGGGTTGCTGGAAACTGAACCCTCTATAAGTCCTCTATAAGAGTAGCAAGTGATCTTAACTGCTGAGCTTATCTCTCCAGACCTAAGGTGGTTTTTACACAGAGATTAATTATTTATTTAAATTGCATTCACTTGCTCAAGGATGTTATATACACTATTGCTTTTATAATGTAACAGTAATGATGACAGTTACTTGATGAGTTGTTGCTGAATAGTTGTTTACACTGTGAGAAGATGTACCACTGCGATTGGTTTAATAAAGAGCTGAATGACCAATATTTAAGCAGGAGAGAATAGACGGGACCTCTGGACAGAGAGAAACTCAGGGTTAGAATCCGGTACAGCAGTAGATGCCAGCCAGACACTGAAGAAGCTGAACATTTGATACAGAGGCAAGGTTACTGAGCCACATGGCAGAACACAGATTAATAAAAATGAGTAAATTTAAGTTATAAGAACTCGTTGGGGAAAAGCCTAAGCTAAGACCAAGCTTTCATAATTAATAATACATCTCTGTGTTATTGGGGAAAGTAGTACTACAATGAATGAATTTTTATTTTGGGGGAGAAAAAATCAAAACAGCTGATTCCCTGAATATCTGTTTAATAGTTAGTTTTGTATGGATCAAGTTAAAATTAGAGACTCACACATACATGCTACACTCTGGTACTGGCCAGCATCCCCTACCAGTTACAGTTAACTCTGGGAGAGTGGGAAAGAGTAAATCTCTAGAGACTGTGTGGCCTTCTCAAGGGTGCTGCTACTATGGTTACTAGAAAGTGAAAACATTTGAGTCATAATCTAAACCAAACTTGATGAGGTTGTTACACCAACTTCAACAAGCTAGGTTTACTTCTCTGTTCATCACATGGCAGATCTTCTTCAGGGGATGTCTCAGTGCAGCTTTACAGACTCGTGTTCATGCTCTCAGTTCTCACAGTATATAACTTCTGTGAGCAGGGGAATGCATGTAGACAAGTGTAGGGAGCCGTTCCTGCATTCTCCATTACAATAATGGTGCCTGAAGACACCAAAATGTCAATTACTTCACAGGCGCTGGGTAATCTCCATTCCTTTGATCTCTGCCTATCCCGTGGCTCATTTGGCCTGAGGAGCTGAAGCCATTCATAGGGTAACACGTCCCAGGCGGCTTGCCAGCCTTTATTAAGGAATGGGATTCTTGGTTCAGGGTCTCCGCTCTGGTAAGCTTATGCTCTCTCCACTCTCAAGATGCATTAAAGCTTGTCTGCAGAAGGATCCGAGTGTCCTGCGTGTATTTCTTGCCGGCGAGAACATATAGCGCGCGGGACAGACAAGTATAGCAAGACTCGCACTCTTACACTGAACATAAAGTCAGTTTTTTCCCCTGCCCAGCCCCTACACTGTCATGGTGACTACGTTGTTATTGTTCTGTAGAGAATCACAAATATTCTCCAGAAGATAACATTGAGGGAGATGAGTCATGCATATCCTCTGAGGCCTGCTGATACGAACACTGTGGCTAACAACACGGCCCTGAAAATCCAGTGCTAGCTCAAGGAGAAGGGGGAAGACTACACCCAGAAACCAAGTATATGGTTTTCTTAATACTTTTAAGTTGAAAAAGTAAACTTAGTCTTTTCAAGAAATTCTCAGTCAACCCTTGAAGCAGAAATACACTTCAACACAAACCATTGGTTCCTAAATGTAGAATTTAAAAATAAATGTGCTATTTTCCCTAATTAAAATTATTAAGAATGATGAAAAATATAACAAAATTTAATTTATTAACAATAAGTACATATGAGTCAGTACCTATAATGGAGTCAGATGAATTTATCATGAGTTATTGATTACTATAGTACTTCCCTTTTGCCAGAGAAACATAAAATTTTTAGATTTATTTATTTTATATTTTGTGTATGTATGTTTTGTCTGTGTGTATATAAGTGCACCATATGTGTGATGGGCTCCAACAAAGACCAGAGGAAGGCATCAGATGCCCTGGAACTGGAGTTACAAATGATTCTAGCTGCCATGTGGGTGCTGGGAATTGAACTCAGGTCCCCAGCAAGAGCAGCAAGTGCTTTTAACCACTGGGCCATCTTTCCATCCCCAGATAAGTTTCTCAAGAGACAACAAACAGTTCCTAAAGCATTTTTGGATTTATCTTAAAGAAAGTTTCTCAAGAGACAACAAACAGTTCCTAAAGCATTTTTGGATTTATCTTAAAGAAAGGATAGAGTGGATCCAGGCTAGAAACGGATTGTGCCAATTTAATGTAACTTTACAAGTTTACTAGTAAACAAAGTCAGTAACTTTGGTTCAAAATTTATAAAAAGAAAAGTTTTTCACCCTCTACTACAGATGCAGTGTTAATTCTCATGATTTCTGGAACCCATCCATGTCATAAAGAACACATTTGAAGTTTTATAAATGAAGTTCTAACCACAGTGAGCATGCTTAGCTTTTGATCACACACTCCTATCCTTCCTCAGTGTTTTTCTTATTCAAGAAAAGATTAAATCTATGAGTTAAATATGGAACCCTCTGGGAAAGGAACAGAAAGAAAGGCAAAACTTGAGATATGATCCAACACTGTTGGCTCTCATTTAAGGAGACTATATAGAAACGGCTCATGGACCATAGCATTCTGAAAGCACTTGATCCCATTAAATCTTGGAAGTTAAGCAAGGTTGGTGCCTGTTACTATTCGGATGAGAAAAATGGCTTACTGTAGTGTTCAATGTATGCTTGAACGACCAGAAAATGAAAAGGCTGTCAAATTTGGAAGACATAAATCATGTACATTCTGCGTAGAAATTCCTCTCCAGATCATCACAAGCTCCATGGCACTCAGATCCAGATGAGTCAAATGATTTGTGTCTTTCCCAGTGTATTGATGAACTACTCCATCTGTCATTAGTCAAGGCCATCAATTCCAAAGGCAAGTTTTTTAGGTTTACCCAAAGATGAGATTGAACTTCCAGTTTTTCAGTCTTAACTAACTTGTAACATTGTAATATAGTTCTTCCACTTAGAAAACTAATAATGAAAACAGAGTCACTTGGCTCTGTCAGAAGTCATTGTCACACTCAGTTCTATAGTATCCAGCAATAATACTCACCACAGAGCATTGTCATACAGTCTACAATGGAATGGATCCAGGCTGTTTGTGAGTAATCCTGAGCAAAGTATGTCTGGAACTCCACAAAGAAAATGGAGATACATCTGAAAAACACAATGCAGGCATTTTATACAAAAGACAAATGAAGATGGAAATGAATCAGAACCTAAAATTGTTGCAATTGGCTGCTGCAGTTTCAAAGGATTTCAGCTACTGAGCTACAGGCAGTAGGAAACCAGGAGTTGACTATTGGGGCCATTCTGAGGAACCAGAAAAGAAGTGCACCATCACCAGAGAGGCTGCTGAAACCACAGAGATAAGAAGATCACTGCACTGAGAGGGTGTTGTGGAAATAAAAGAAAACATGTTAAGAGCATAGTTTATTATTAAATATTAGTACTAGTATTTTTTACTTCACTAAAGCGATATACAACTTTAAACTTCAAAATGAAGACCAATATAAAAACAAGCCTTGGAAATTTTACTTCTAATATTTGTACAAAGGCAGTAATCTCATGACAATAAAGATGACAGGGATAGATGTACTGCAATGAATATATTCTAAGGAACAATTGATTATAGCTGAATATTGTAACTGACCTGTTTATCATTAAAAGACTTGCCTTGGTTACTTTTCTATTGCTGTAATAAGACACCATGACCAAGGCCACTTACAGACAAAAGTTTATTTGGAGTTTACAGTTTCAAAGAGTTAAAGTCCACAACTATCATGACAGGGAACATGGCAACAGGCTAGCAGGTGTGCCACTGGAACAGGAGTTGAGAGCTTACATCTTGATTCATAAGCACAAAGGAGAGAGAGAGAGAGAGAGAGAGAGAGAGAGAGAGAGAGAGAGAGAGAGAGAGAGAGAGAGGGGGGGGGGAGGGTGATTTGGGAAACCTCAAAGTGTGTCCCCCAGTGACACACTTCCTCCACCAAGGCCACACCTCCTAATTTCTTCCCAAACAGTTCTACTAAATAGGGACTGAGCATTCAAATATATGAGTCTATGGGGGTCATTTCATTAAAACTGCCACAAAACTGATTAAAAATTATGATGTATCAATAAATTAAAATAGTATTTTATTAAATATTTTTAAATGATGTTGATCTGTATCTAATGGTTTGGAAATAAATTTAAAACATAATGTTAACTCAAAAACGTAAGGGCTGAGCCGGGCGTTGGTGTCACACGCCTTTAATCCCAGCACTCGGGAGGCAGAGGCAGGCACATCTCTGTGAGTTCGAGGCCAGCCTGGTCTCCAGAGCAAGTGCCAGGATAGGCTCCAAAGGTACACAGAGAAACCCTGTCTCAAAAAACCAAAAAAAAAAAAAAAGGAAAAAAAAGAAAATATGACTGTATGACTTTAATTTGAGTTAAAATAATGCAGAACTTCTTAAAAACAGGAATTAACTATAACTATATTAAGCCAGTTTGAAATCAGAGCAACAAGAAAAACAAGAGCCCTTCAACCCAGATACAACAAGAATCCATCTGTCTATCTTGCTTCCTTCCCCAAACAGATACTGATCTCCAGAACACTCACTAATAAATCCTGCAAAAGAAAACTATCAGCAGAGCAAACAGACAACCCATAGAATGGGAGAAAATCCTCATCAGCTGTGTTTTAGACGGGGGTGGGGAGGGGATACTCAGAGTTTATAACGAACTGCAGAAATTACACACACACACACACACACACACACACACACACACACACAATCCAAAGTGGTAATCAGATAATGAATTCAGGAAATGAGAAGTTTTCAAATGAAGAAACACAAATGACCAATAAGTGTTTTTAAAAGTGTTCAATATCCCTGGTGGTCGGGGAAGTGCAAGTTAAAACTGCTTTTCAATACCACCTCATCTCAGCCAACGATCTGACAGCAAATGTCGGTAAGGGTGTGGGAAAGAGGAACCCTTGCTCACTGTTAGTGGGAGTGTAAAGTAGTACAAGCATGATAAAAATTAGTAGGCCATCTCCTCAAAATATTTAAAATAGAACTACCATGTGACCCCTATACTACACCTGGGCATATGCCCCATAAATTCCAGGTCAACCACAGAGATATTTTCACAACCATGTTTATTGCTGCTCTACTCACAATAGCAAGGAAATGGAACTTGCAACAGATGAACGAATGATGAAAATGTGGTACACATACACAATGGGATTTCAGCTACAAAGATATAAATTTGCAGGAAATGGGTGGATCTGGAAAATATAATGTTCAGCAAGGTGACCCAACTCAGAAGGACAAAAGCCTGATGCTTTTTACATGTGGATCCTAATATGTTAAGTACATATGTGTTTATATAAACAGATAAAAATGTGTGTAAGGCCTAGAAAGCTTAAAAGGAGACCAAGAGAGGGTAAAAGTCGGTACTGAGGAAAGATGGAAGGTGAGAAGGACACATGGACCACAAAAGAGGATGAGATAGGGGACAGCACACAGGGAAGTCAGGGATATCAGAGAGGTGGGGAAGATGAATGGAGCTGAGCATCACTGAAACACTTCATGCAATAATGAAATAATGATCTCAGAAAAATAAACACCTATATACTAAAAGCAATAACAAAACCCTGTGAAGTTCCTTACCACAAAAGACTTCTGGTCTGGTCATAAAATGTCTATTATTTTTCTCCTAACTACTCAGCTTTCAACATAAGTGAAAAATGATTTAACAAATACATCCTCATTTTCGAAATAGGTAAGTTACCCACCACCCAGGATTCTGAGCAGAACACTATTGACTTTGGGGCTGGGTAAGTCCTTGAGGGATTTGTCCTGTGTGGCAGGCAGGATACTTAGCAGCATCTCCAATTTCTGCTCCACATGTCTCCAGACACTGCTAATAAGCCTTGAAACCAAAATGAGGCTTGCTGACAAGTGATTTAATCATCAAGTTTTCCAATCCCTCTGCAGGGCATTCACACCCTTTCATGGGTCTCAGTCCCCCTTACTGTCCGTAACAGTGTTGTCCCTGAAACTGTAGCTCAAAGCTCCGGTCTAAGTCCCTCTTATTGTTCATATCTGATGCCAGCGCCTTCCCCCTGAACTGTAGCTCAAAGCTCCTAACTGATGCTTCTGAATTCACACTTGACTGCCCTCAGAGCATTCTTCAAACAGTGACAGCATTACCTTCCTGGAACACAAAGCAGATACTGCCATTTCAAACATTTTAGCTTGACTTGGGAGATTATTCGAGCTGGCCCTTTTTTTTATCATTTTTTTAAATTTGAATTAGAAACAAGATTGATTTACATGACAATCCCATTTCCCTTCTCCCTCCTGTCCTCTTCTACACCCCCCACAAATAAAACCCTACCTATCACATACCCTTTCTTCTATCCTTCACCTGACTCAACCTTTCTGCTCCCTCATGACCTCTGCATCCTTCCTCTTCTTCCCTTCTCATTCTCATAGCTCCCTCCCCCCTCTTCCCGTGCTCTCAATTTGCTCAAAGGATCTTGACCCTTTCCCCTTCTCCAGCAGACAATGTTTGTCTCCTTTAGAGTCCTCCATGTTTACTAGTTTCTCTGGCAGTGTGGATTGTAGGCTCGTAATTCTTTACTCTATGTCTAAAATCCACATATGAGTGAGTACATATCATGTTTGTCTTTTTGTTATTGGGTTACCTCACTCAGAATGGTTTCTTTTAGTTCCATCCATTTTCCTGCAAATTTTAAGATTCCATTGTTTTTTCTGCCGAGTAGTACTCCATTGCGTAAATGTACCACATTTGTTCTATCCATCCTTCTGTAGAGGGGCATCTAAGTTGCTTCCAGTTTCTGGCTATTACAAATAATGCTGCTATGAACATCGTTGAACAGATGTCCTTGTTGTATGAATGTGCTTCTTTTGGGTATATGCCTAGGAGTGGAATTGCTGGATCTTGTGGTAGACTGATTCCCATTTTCTTGAGGAGTCGCCATACTGATTTCCAAAGTGGCTGCACAAGTTGGCACTCCCACCGAGCTGGCCCTTTTTGTTCGTGTTCCTTTCTGTCCACTGTTGAATACGTCACTTGAGCCGTACTGAATTCTTTTCTGCCTCTTTCCATACTCTCCCTGTGTTTTATGCACTTCTAAACATTATTTTTTTCTGTGATTCTCCTCTAAGCTCCCTCTTGTAGTCTCAGGCTGTCAACCAGTCTACACCTCCAAGAAGTCTTCCTTGATTACTCCTTTACTACTTAAGACAGGAACGGATGCTTCTCCTTTGTGTCCTCTACTTGCATGCTTAGCACGAGGTATGGCAACTCCCTTTGCATTTGTTTGTACTGTTCACTAGCTGTTGCTCAGTGCCAGCAGAAGACATATCTGTCTTAACTCACACCAAATACCAAACGTCTAATATAGTGTATGCCACATTGTTCAATGGAAGAAGGGGAGGAGACAGTGAAAGGAGAGAACCAAGAAGGAAGAAGGAAGAAGGATGGGAGGGAAGGGGGGAGGAGGGAGAGAGGGAGGGAGAGTCACTTGATAGAGAAGTTGACTGGAATGTAAGGAAATGAAATGGTCCAACAGAAAGAGAAGAGGAAGAGTGGCTGGTAGCTCCAACAGGTAGTTGTGCATGGAGGTGAGCTGAAGCAGGGATATGAAGCATCCAGTCATTCTCTGAAGAGAAAGGACCAGCCGGATCCGGTGCAGAAGGTGGCAGCGTGAGAGCACAGAGCAGTCGAGGGATGACGAGCTGTTTTATAATTAGAAACGACAGGCTCTTGTCATCGCTAGGTCATTTGGGGGAACTTAGTATCAACGTGATGTCTCTTGTGACTTTTTTTTTTTTTTGAAATTTTATCTTGTTTTTCCCTTGCTGGTTTCCTGAACTGAATTGACTAGTCGCATCAGTGAAACTTTGGGTATTAAAATCAAAGACACGAGCTTCACGTCTGGGCACATGAGTGCCTAAGCCAGAGGGAAAACGTCTTTCCAGGCACTTCGATGATCATGACATTCAGGAAGATGGATTATGTCATTCAGAAGGAAGAGAACCCAGTTACAAATGACAAAATAAAACAAAAAGGAATAATGTGGTCATATTCCACATTATTGGGAGAAATGACTGCAGAGCTTTCCAGATGGTGGAAGTTCGTGTTGTAAGATTTAAAACCCAGTGGTGATGTTACCGAAATTGAATTCCAACAGGAACACACATGCATCTGAATTGTGTGGTTGATGTCTGAGATGCCTGTGTAATAACAGGAGTCAAGAAAGCAAAACTCCCATTCCAGAGTCATCGCACAGGCAAACAGTCTTCAAGGCAAGTTCCTGATCTCTCAGGGCCTCAATTTCATCATCTATAAATCAAGCACTTTTGTAAACATAATTCACAAAAGTCTGAATGATGAGTCTTATGGCATCTATTCAGTTCTTGAGGGTTTGATAGGGATTGTTCACAAAAATGTGGGAACAAAACACAACAAGCATCATCACTGATGACCAAAACTGCTTTCTTAAAGATGATTTGACTCAACTGGTCAGCACACTTGCTGTGTCAGTTTCATCATGGCTCTAACACTGTCCTAGCTCTTACAAAACTGATGGCTAATACTTGGCTTGGTAAATAGATATCTAGGTTGATTTAGTTATCTGTTGAGTCAGCTCAAGAACTGACTCACTGGGGAGTTACAGCCTACTAGTCAAAATCACTGTCATATACCGTGACTAATCCTGTAATGTGGTGGAAATGAGTATATAAAAACTATTGGAAAGCATGCCAACAAGCACAAAGTAAGTGCTCAGTAAAGTCGGCAATCTTTTTTTTTTTTTTTTTTTTTTTGGCCCCAACTGTTCTAAAAAGACTTTGAAAAAGCTGAAAAACTCCAAAGAACTCCAGAAATTCATTTCAACTAAGTTTATTTGGACCCAGAAAATCTAGGCAAAAACAAGTCTTGAACCTATGATATTGATTCCTTTGAATATTTAAATAAAATTTTTGCTTCTCAAGTATCCACTCATGTTGCCAGTATAGGAATATAATTCATGTAATTGCATTTCAAATATGATTCTTACACGGACAATGTATTTTTATAAGGAAAAAGAAATAATCAATGCATATTAATAAACATGACATAAGTAAACAATAATGGCTGCTTCCATGGACTGTGGAACTTTAAAATTTAAAATTTGCAAAGTACAAGTCCAGAGCTGAAATAGGACTTTTAAATGCCTTGGATCATAATTATAACATTGTCTATAACAGAAGAGCCCAGAAAACAATAGAAAATCCCATTAATAAAAATGTGTCGAATAATTGTGGACACAGCATATGACAGAATTTTAAGCAACAATTTTTCAGTGAGTTATAACCATGTTTGTTGATATGGAACAATCCCAAGAGAAATTATTAAGGGGATCAGAACCCTCCTTATGATTCTGTATCCATATAACCTTGCGTATGTCAATAACAAGAACATACATTTGTGTTAGTTCAAGATTGAGGGAACTTTTTGTTTTAATTTTGAGACTTAACTAAAAAAATACTGCTGATGTTAGTTTTTAGGCAGTGAAGTAAGGAAGAAAAAATGCTTTATATATTTCCAATGTATTTGAATGTTACCATCTGAATGTGAGATATTTTGTTTTGAAATGTATTTTTTTAAATAGAAAATCAAAGCATGGTTGTCCTGAAGACACTGATTATCTATTACACAGACTACCTGGCTTGCATTTTTTTGTTCCCAACTCCAGTTCTCTTTGTTGCTTCTTGGTTTGTGACATTTAGATCGCCAGGTTGACTACATCACCATACTTTCTCATCTGCCTTTATTCTGCTCAAGTATTCTCTTGGCCTCTCCTGTTGACCCCTGGTACTCTGCCTTGGCTGCCAGTCACAGTCTGCTCTTCCAGGTTCTGACTAAATTCTTGGCAGTTTAGGAGTGCTGAGGAAGGGGAGGCACTGATGCAGGTTGAGACATCTTTCTTTTTTATATTTTCCAAATTCTTTCCACTCCTTAAGGCTTCAGTCCAAGGACAACTTCTCTAGAAAGCCTATCCTGAACAATCCAGGCCTGAATTTGTCTCAATGAAAATCTTATTTTAAGTCTATATTGACCGAAGTTAATATAACTTTTTGATTACCTACATCAGGGGCTTTGAAGATGGTCTGTAAATGGGTGGCTTGTCTTTTTTGATAAGGTGTTGATCCTTGACTACCTACCACTGAAAGTCATCAAACTTCATATAACTTTGGTCAATATGGATGATTTTATTAGTAGTTTAGTTAATTGTGCATGAGTCTACCATAAGATAGTCAGTATATCTATGGTTGTAGAAGCTTCTAGTACAGAGTCATGTCTTCAATGGATGAAAAATAATCATCAATGGAACTGGTTTTAAGTGAATTAAAAATGAAACATAAAAGTACAACCTAAAAAGATATGAAGCTTTCAGCCTTTGGTGGTAGTCAGAGATTCAACACCATGCCAAATAAGACAAGCCCCCCCATTTACTGATGGTCTTCCAAACTCCTGATGTAGGTGATCAAATACATATGGACTCCAACTCTAGTTCTTTTGTAGTTCCAGAAAGTTCAATGAACACACACACACACACACACACACACACACACACACACACACACACACACCTATGTGGAGTTGTTTGTACAGGAATTGGTGTAATACCTTATATGGCATATTAACAACAGAACAGAGAAGGTAGGGGCCCTCTGGAAAACAAATTTAGAAATTTAGAGAGATGCATCCCCTTGATGCATGCATCCCCATTATCATTGGCATGATAATAATAAACATTATCCTTGGAGAGGAAGTTGCCCACCTTCAGAAGATATTTCCTGTAACCAAGGCATTTAAAAAGTCAGTGTCTAATACCACAGCTGACCTTAATGGAACTGAAGATAAGCTACAAAGTATGTATGGGGGTGCAGAAGTGTAGGGCATTGTGAGAATAGGATAAGAAATTATATTCTAGAAAAAACAATAGTGATTTCTGTGAATGTGTGTGTGTGTGTGTGTGTGTGTGTGTGTGTGTGTGTGAACTCAAGTGTCTGTAGATGATGAGTGTGTGCACTATAGTAAAAAAAAAACAAGGTAAATTAAGATCCCAGTTTATCTCTGTCCTGGGAGCCATAAATACAGGCAGGTCACTTAGCCTTGCCACTAAGCAGGGATAAATATCCCTATTTGCCTAAATAACAAAGCTCATGTGAAAAAATATGATTGACAGAAGAATCTTAGTATTGCAATTAGGATCACTGTGGACAACCTTGTGAGAACACAAATTCCTCATGAAGCCTCAACTATCCAGAATACTACAGCACAAGTCCTCCTTATAATGCAATGAGCCCACTTCCTGAACTTTCCTCTTGTGCAACTAATAGAAGTTTGCATTTATAAGAAGCTACACAAAAGAATTCCTTTTTAATTCTGCAACCTACTCACACTCAGAATACAGAAGGAAGAAAATCAGACTCAATATAAAATTATTTTGAAAAAATTCCATGATTTGTTAGGACATATAACCAACAAACTTGAATGGTGGCAAATATATAAACACCTACACTACATCTGTTGATGGACAGGTATCAATATCTTCATTTATGATATCAAATAAAGTTATTAGTACAAATACTTTCTTATACTATCGAGAATATACTGTCAGAGAAGAGAAACTCAGGTCCACTTGAACATAAGTGGGGAAGGAGATGTCACATGCATATCACAAATATTAGTTCCTAAATACACAAAAAGAGCAAGTTGGATATTAAGTATATTGAGCATCAGGCCTCTGAAAGAAAAACAAATGAGCAAGAGAGGCTGAAAGAGTCACTATTTTTTTTTACAGTTGTGTTTTTCAACTTAAAATCCAGTTGCCACCACCACAGTCAAAATACAAAGTGAAGCACAAGAATTTGAATTCTAGGTTTGATGCTTCCCAGTCTCAATACTTAAAAAACAAAAGGGTATTCATGGATTCTCTGAAGTTCCATAGTATTCCTCCTGAGAGGATATAGATTCTAATCCTATACAAGTTTGACTTTAAAAAAATAAAACAAGTTTGACTTCAATTATACTGTGTTCACAAACCTATTATAAACTTTGTAACTACACTTAGTCATGGGCATACTTTTCCTTATTCCTATACTGCAGGCTTGAAGATAAATTGCACACTATAATTTCTTGCTATAGTGTTTCTCATTTATGAGTTAGGAATCATAAATGTATTTGCCTCCATTATAAAATCTTAATGATTATTACTATCCTAATTAAAATTTCTCATTAATATATTATATCTAAGAAAAATAGACCTATAAAGATCATCTTAAATATCCCTAGAGCCAACATAGTTTATGCTAACTTGATCTTCTTGAGTATGCATTTAGCAATTCTTGAAAATCCTTAGAAAACTGATTTCTTTATGAAAATACCATGGAAAAATCCTCTTCTGATGAAAAAATCAGAACAATTCTCATGTTATTTTATATAGAAGGAGCTTATGTGAAAAATAGGTGTAATATGAAAAGTGGAAAGAAGTAAGTATCACACACTTCCACATTCTATAGAGGTATTCATGAAAACATATCTGTATTAGATTTTGCCCAATACATTCAAAAACTCCTAAGTGTCCTAACATATATCAGATATTAGGGAAGAGGCCAATATCCAGGACTCTGAAGCACTGTAGTATCATAACTTGCAAAGCAAAAAAGATACATGAGCACACACACACACACACACACACACACACACACACACACACACACGCACGCACAAGAAATGACATGAGCTCATCCTTAACGAATCAAGAAGAAAGAAAGATCCACTTACCTGGTAACTGCCCGGGTACAGATGGTAACAAGGAAGCAGCCAGCCACTATCATCCAGCCCCAGCCTCCGTCTGGAGGGGATGCTGACCCAACTCTAGTTATCTTCGCCATGGTTTCAATTCTGGTTTTCTTCTCTTTCCAAGTTACTTCAGTAGTACGTTATAATCTTGAAAGTTTGCTACCCAGTAACTTCCTGTTGATATTCAAAGTTGGTACAGAATGCTACCTGGCACAGGGGTTACTGGCCATCTAAAGTGAAAACAAGGACATACTTTTATTCCATTGTCATGTCCAAAGATACATTTTCACCTCATAAGTAATTATTACTCTCCTATTAATATGATTACTTATAACTCTGACTACTGAGACATGGTAAAGACTGGTAGTGTCCTTTTAAAAGTTTCTTTAAATGTAAAACTGTTTTTTTCACAATCCTTGAGAAGTTGCCATCCCTTCAGAAAATTCTTTATGAACAAAACCCTAAGAAAATTGCAGCAGTAGCTTATGTTAATCCAAAAATATGTATCTGATGTAATATAAACCTTATAAACAGGCAATGTGAAGAGAGTACATTAATATGATTTCTATGACACACCTCCAATTTTAATTCTTAGATATAAATGCTAGCATAACCTAATATATATTTACATATCAAAGTATTACATTTATTTCTGAGATTACAAAAATGACAACATTAAAGATGTAATAGCAGCTCAAATATCAAAAGAACCACATAACCTTTGCTCTTTCTATCCAGACATTCCTGTATTGTGAGAGCATAGACTATCACTGCTGAAAAGAAGGAAAACCAGCAAGGGAGAGAGAATACAGTATGCTTGCTAACGTGACACTCAGTCCTCAGTCAAGCCAAGGAATGAGGCTAGGAAACATTACATAGCCCTGGGCTTTTATAAGGATTCAGACACAGGGCAAAGAAGGCTTATACATCATAGAAAGCAGCCATAAATATACCACTATATCTGTTCCATCTACACAAAGTACCTGTACTACAAGTCAAAGAAAACAATGCTGGAGGTATTCCAACATCTGACTTCATGCTATACCAGAGGGCCACATGAATAGTCACTGGCACAAAAACAGACCTGTATATCAATGGAGTACTAAAGCGCACCCCAAATTAAGCACATGCACTTATAGCCACCTGATTTTTCATGCAGGTATAAAAATGCACATGGAAAGAAGAGCCTCTTCAACAAATTGTGCTGAGAAAACTGGGTAGCCACATTGAGAGAGGTGAAACTAGATAGCAACCACTCATCTTGTAAAAAAAAAAATTGTTTCAAAAATAAGTAAGACCTTACTGTAAGACCCAAAACTCTGACATTATTATTGGGTAACAGGGAGACCAGTTCAAGATAAAGGCATAGCAAAGACTTTCCGCAAAAGTCTCCAATAACACAGGGACTAAAATCAGGAGTTGATAGATGGGGTTGCATGAAGTTTTTTTTTTTTTAAAAAAAAGGCCTTCGTTTAGCACAGGAAATAATCAAGTAATCAGTCCACAAAATGGTAGAAAAAATTTGATACTTATAAATCATTCGGAGAATTAATAGTGACATTATATAAAGAACTAAAAAAACCTACCTCCAATCTAAATAATCAAATCATTAAATGGGAAAATGAAGTAAAAAAAAAGTAGTTTTCAAAGGATGAAGTATTCAACATTCTTCATGCCATCAGAAAAATGCAATTTCAAACTACACGAAGATCCTTATCTTGTCCCAGTCAGAACAGAATGGCCACCATCAAGAAAGCAACAATCAATCTTGGTGACAATGGAGAGGGAAATTAAGCCATATGCACTGTTGGCAGGAATGTGAATTAGTCTAGTCAGCCACTGTGAGACTCATGGAGAGTCCTCATAAAATAAAACCAAAATGATTATCTCATCCAGCTGTGCCGCTCGTGGGACCAGGCCAAAGGAATGTAAGTCAGCACATTATGGAGATACTTGCCCGTGAATGTTTATTGAACACTGTACACAACAGCCAAGTAGTGGAACCAGCCCAGGTATCCATCAGGAGATAGAATGGACACAGTAGCTGTGGTACAAAGCACAAAGATTGCTTGTTTTCTCTCATGTGTGGCCCGAAGATTTTGCAGGCCATGTGTGACATGAAAGTAGGAGTGGAGCTATCTAGAGCAATGGCTCTCCACCTTCCTAACATTATGACCCTAGCACAGTTCCTCATGCTGTGCTGACCCCCAACCCTAAATTTACTTTCATTGTCACTTCATAAATATAATTTTACTACTGTTATGAATCAGAATGGAAATATCGAATAGGCAGTATATCTTATATGTGACCCCTGTGGAAAGGTTGTTTGGACTCTAGATAGGTCGTGACCAACAGGACGGAAACTACTAGTCTAGGGGGAGAAAGAAGCTAGCAGGAAGGAAGGAGAAGAAAAAAAGGTAGGTACATGATATATTTTGTCTTTATGAAACTTATCATTATGAACAATTAATATATTGTAATACAGTTTAATTTTTAAAAATCTGCTCATAAGGAACATTAACAAAATACAAAATTGTATAAGTCCAAGGCTGGAGAGGTATTTCAGTCATTAAAGGCAAAGGCTCATAACCCAACATCAAGGGTTTGGTTCCCAGCACCTACATCAAAGCCTGTCTTTCCCACTTCTCTTGCCTTCTTACAGTGGCACAATGGCACACGACCTTACTTAAAAGAAAAAGACATCTTTTAAAAAGCAAACACAGTTGTGTAAGTCTGAATAAATTAAGCAACAATCCTCACCATGCCATAGTGACAACATGATAAACGGAGGTCTCCTGTGAGTCAAAGTTAACCTGGATGACCTTGGTTAGCTCAGGGATGACTATAGCTCAGGGATGACCATAGCTCAGGGATGACCATAGCTCAGGGATGACCATAGCCTAGGGGCAACTATAGCACAAGGATGACCATAGCCTAGGGACGACTATAGCACAAGGATGACCATAGCTCAGGGATGATTATAGCACAAGGATGACCATAGCACAGGGATGACTATAGTGTAGGGATGATTATAGTGCATAGATGATTATAGCACAAGGATGACCATAGCAAAGGGATGACTATAGAGCAGGGATGACCACAGTGCAACGACTATCCTCACCAGGACTAAAGAAGGCAAAGCAGCACTTCTGGGAGCATTCAACCCCCGCACAGTTCTCCCAGAAAGTGCAATCCTTGGAAAGAATGCTACCCTTCCCCTTTCACAATGGTGTTGCTTCTCCTCAGAGGAGACTCCCTTGATGCTGCTGCATCCGGACACATATGGCCACAGGTATCTCAGCAGACTTCAAATGATACAGTTAGACACCAGCCCTGGAGATTTCAAATAATTTCTGTCAACAAGATGTCCACACACTACTAAAATGTGACAAGGTAAGAGAGAAGGGGACCCTACAATGCTAGAATTATGGTTATTCTTGATCACAAAACAGTGCATTCAAGTTTCCCTCAAAGCAGGTCAGTTAATAGATATGTCTTCTGGATGAAACACGCAGGTTCAACACAGCGAAGCTAGCTTCCTGGAGAGTTTGAAGTAGCCAGCCATTCCTACCATATTAACTTGAGCGTCCTTGTAAATGATTAACCCATCTGATATTTGCCAAAAAACAGCAAGGAAATCTTTTACTGACTCTCCAGTATGTCTAAAACTGTAAACAAGCAAAGAACTGCCATCGTGCAACTCTTCTCTAAATTATTGCATTTTTACATCAACCACTAATACTATTAGAATGTCCTTCTGAAACTATCCCTTTGAGTACAAATTGGAATTTAGCCCCAATTCACTTCCTCCTCTTGTTACTTTAAAGAATTTAATCACTTGCAAAAGGTTGCTAACACTCAGTAACCTTGATATAAAGCTCCACACTTGAGGAGGGGTGCATCTCTTTCCTGTTACCCTCCCTGGAGTTTTCTAAACTGGCTTCCTTTATCTGTAGAAAACGCATGAATTCATGCATCAGCAGCTAGCCAAAAGGAAACTGGAACCTGTTTTGGAAGCTCTGAACAGTCACTTTCCACTGATTTCTTTCTCCCACGTCTCCTGTTGCCAGTGTCTTCCCCATTAGCAGTATATTTCCTCTATAAGCTGTGCAGCCATAACGGAGGGAAAGTGCTATGATGGAAAACTGCTGAGAGGGGAATCGCGATGACTGTGTCCAAGCGGCCCTATTCAGTAGTGTGACCCTAGTCACTCCCTCTCTGCCACCATTTCCTAACTTACAAAAACAGGACACTGAACTACTGAGACCTAGTCTCTAATTCAGGTAGCCAGTTGTAGTATATCAGCTTTTTGTCTATGTGGCAAATGAGAAAAACAAGTTCAATGAGGAAAAGTTGATGACAATTCATGGTTTTAGTTCATGGTTGGGTAGTTTCATTGCTTAAAAGGCAGAGCCTCCCATGAGGCAGAACAGTATGGCAGGTAGGGGAAATAGACCAAAATGGCTCATCGCTCATCTCATATTGCCTAGGAAGTAAGGGAGAGAGGAGAGAGAGAGAGAGAAAGAGAGAGAGAGAGAGAGAGAGAGAGAGAGAGAGAGAGAGAGAGACAGAGACAGAGACAGAGACAGGCAAAGACAGAGAGAGACATACCAAGAAAGATAGAGACAGAACACGATGCCCAGCGGCAAGCTTCCTGCTACTACTTTCTACCTGCTAAGAGCCCATTCATCTACAGACACATTGATGAATTAAACTATTGATGAAGTTAGCATGCTCATGAGCCAATCACTCCATAAGCACTACTGGCTGGGACCAAGCCCTAAACATATAAGCCTCTTTGGAAGATACTTCATATCCAAACCAGAACCCTGAACTAAGTACATCCTTATTATATAGGTCTCCTCGTAGGGTGAGCATTGCCTGAAAACTCTAATTGGCTTCATTCTTTGCTAGTATTTAAGAAATATGAAATTTGTCATTCTGACTGGTGTTTTGACCATTTATATGTATTCTGGTTATGAAAATTTATATAGTATTCTGGTTATATGGGCAATATTTTTAAATAACTCATGATAAACTCCCCTTTTTTCAAACCAGTTTCTCTCAGTGTTCTTTTTCTATCATTAGTACT